GTCAGGTGCCATTATCTTAGCAGGTTTACCCCAGCAGGGAAGTCTCTCAGGCAGGTTTTGATTGTACTGGGCTAAACTGTAGTTAACATGGTACTTTATCCAGCTGAGCATCGTGGACAGCTGAAAAATCCCTCTGAGGTAGCCAGGGTCTTCCCGAGGGGAAGGTTTGGGTAGTAACGCAGGAGTGGAGTAGGAGATGGGGCGGCCTTTTCTGTGTTTGTGCCCTAGGAAGGTCTGGGTGCTCTAGGCTAAGCTGGTAGCGTTCAGTGCAGGAACAGTGCAGGGTCCTGGGGAGAATCAGGGGCACCGTCTTATTGGGTTCCTGACCTATGATCCCAGCTCTGCCACCAATTAGCTACATGAGATTCACCTTTGGGCCGCTGTGTGCTCATTTGTGAAATGCAAAGGCTGACTGGGTTGGGTATTTAGGAGCCAGAGACAGTGGATTTCTTATGTGAACCCAGGAGACACTCCTGTTCTGCTACTGTTCTGCTAGCTGGGAATGCTGCCCTGCTGCCAGTCCCTGAACTCTGTAGTCTTCTGTGGTTCCTTCCCCAGATCCTGGCCCCAATCTTTTTGTTTTGTTTTTGTGGCAAGTTCTCCCGTATTCCAGGCTAATTTCTAATTGCATTGTGTAGCCAAGGGTCAGGATGGTCTTGAGCTTCTCATCCCCCTGTGTCTACCTCTAGAGTGCTGAGATTACAGGCAGGCATCACCCTGGTTTTACATGGTACTCAGAATGGAACCAAGGCCTCATATATTCTAAGCAAGTACTATCACTGAGCTATTATTTGTGTTTCGTGCTTTTTGAGACAGGGTCTCATGTAGCCTAGGCTGAGATGACCTTGAACTCCTGATTTGCCTCCATCTTGGAGTGCTATGATAGATACATCATGCTATACCACAACCAGCTTTTGATAAGCATAAAGTACTACAGAAGTGCTGGGATTTTCAATTGCTGAGGCAGGAGGATGATGGTTATTGTCTGGTTGGATGCCTGAGGTCTGTATGCCTGAGATGCTGCCTTCTGGCCTTCCTGGGATCAGGAAGGAGGCCACCCTGAAGCACAGTGGTATATTTGGGAGGCAGACTAATGACTGAACAGTCTTTAGTTCTGATCTTGCTTTTCAGGCTGGCTGGACACCCATTTCCTTAGCACTAAAAGAGGCCATGAGGCTGTAGTAATAGGCATGCAAGTAAATTCCATGGAGTGATAGTTTCTGTTTTTCCCTCTCCACTGTGTTCCATGATAGTACTTCACCAGAAGTGTCTAAATAAGGAAGCAGACACTTTGAGAGAGGTTCTGACCCAGAAGACCAGTAGAAAAGTGAAGGGCAAGGAGGTGACCGTGAGAAAAGTTAGTAGCTAAAAAATAGAAGGCTCTAGGAAGGTATGGGCACTAATATCCACTATTGCTCCCCTACCAGGCACATTCCAGCTTCCATAGCCCTGTGACTGCACAGACCAGACTTGCAGGAGAGCCCTGAAAGGACTGAATCTTCACCTGAGATAGGCATTGTGGCCTCTGCCTGTACTCTCGGCACTAGGGAGTTGGAGGCAGGAGGGTTAGAAGTTCAGGGCCAGCCTTGGCTATGTAGCAGATTTGAAGCCAGCCTGCACTACATTGAAACTCTGTCTCCGCAACAAAACTTTCCTTGTAAGCAAGAAGGCATGAAAATATGTGTGGCCACAGAGTCCCCCTTACCTGTTTTCTGTGTAATGGGGCTTTTGACAATTTAAGTGAAATTTGTGAATGGAAACTAAGAGCAGAATGTGGCAAGTACCTCCCTCAAAAGCATTTAAGCTCCTGCAGATCTGCATTTAGGGAGGAAACCAGACAGATAGGATTTCTTTTAATATTGGCTTATCCTACTCCAAGGAAAACCTTTTTCTTTCCTTTTTTTTTTTTTTTTTTTGGTTTTTCAAGACAGGGTTTCTCTGTGTAGCTTTGGAGCCTGTCCTGCTATATCCTGGCACTCACTCTGGAGACCAGGCTGGTCTCGAACTCACAAGAGATCCGCCTGCTTTTGCCTCCAGAGTGCTGGGATTAAAGGCATGCGCCACCAACGCCCGGCTTTCTTTCATTTTTTCTTTCTTTCTTTCTTTCTTTCTTTCTTTCTTTCTTTCTTTTTTAAGCAAAAAGCCCTAAGCTCATGGCAGTTCTCCTGCCTCTGCTTCAGTGCTAGGAATTTACAGACATGTGCTGTCATGCCCAGTGATGGCCGTCGCTTTTAAAGCCCTGTTAAGGTAGGATAGCTGAGGGTGGGTAAAGGTGCTTCCTCCAAGCATGGTGGCCTGAGCTTGATCCCTGAAACCCACAGAAGGATGAAAGGAGAGCACTGATTCCACATGTTTATACATGATAGTAAATAAATGTATGGATTTGGGAGTGGGTATATAAATAAATCAATGGAATCAATGGATGTGAATCTTTCATAAAATTTTTTGTTTTTGTTTTTTCAAGACAGAGCTTCTCTGTCTTGAAACTTGTCCTAAAACTTGCTCTGTAGAACAGGCTGGCTCTAACTCAACTCATAAATCCGCCTGCCTCTACCTCCGAGTGCTGAGATTAAAGGCGTGCGCCACCAATGCCTGGCTTTTTTTTTTTTTTTTTTTTTTTTTTTTTTGATTTGTTGTTATGATGATGATGATGTTTGCGTTTGGACATGGGTGCCATGGTATAATGTATGGAGGTCAGAGGGCAACTTTGTGGAGTCAATTTTTTTTCTTCCACCTTTTTGTGGGTTCCAGGGACCAAACTCAGGTCAAAGGGCCTATGTGCTTTTAGCCACTAAGCCATCTATCTCACTGGTCCTGGGTGAAATATTATTTTAGTTGATTTTCTACCTAAGTGAGGCTCCCATTTTTATTGGCTGTTCATATTTTTTCTCATGTAGATGCCTTCCTTTTTGGTAGATCTTTTCATTTGGTCCTAAGATCTGAGTGGGAACTGAGACAGTGTCCTCCTTCATCTTCCTGTTGTCCTCATGTTCTCTTCTTGGTTTGAAGCAGTCCTCATGTAGGACAGGGGCGCCCTCTCAGGAAGCTGTGAACAGCTGAAGGCCCTGAGAGGATGATGACAACAGGGTCTCTCACATGCTAGGCCTGGGCCTGGAAGGTGTCATGAGCTGTGCTGTGCTAGGGCAGGAAGAGGGGATGCAGAAAGGGACTGGGCTGCTGTTAGAGGAACCCAGGCCGCAGGCATATATGCCAGGCATCTGTGAAATGTTCCACAGCAGCCCCGCTGAGTGCATCCATTCAAGTGCACACATCCCTTTGCACCAGTGGCCTGGCTGTCCTGGGCCTGTGAATGCCCCCACCCCCACCCTGAGACTGACTGCAGGGCTGAGAAACTGCTGCTGTAGTTGGAGCACCTGTGGAGCATGTATGGGGAGACTTTTTCAAGCAGCTGTCTGAGGCATCAACTCTTAAATGGAAGAGGATGAGTGGGAGACTTCCTAAGACTTCCCTCTGAGTCCCCTATGTCTGGTGCCATGGGCACCAGCCAGTCAGGCACTACTTGTGGGGCCGCTCCAGCTGGGTGAAGGGTGGTAGGTAGGCAGAGCCCATGAGGAGATTCTGAGGTAGCTGGAGCCTGAACTTCTCTGGCAGTGGTGCTGCTTCTGCTTATATCCTTGCTTGTGAATAAGTTCTGGTGTCTAGCCGGCCATCCCCAGCCCAGCAGAAGGCCAGAGGAATTCCTCCCTTATAGCTGTCAGCCAGGAGAGCTGTCCTGCTATGTGCCAGGTGTTCAGGTGTTAGGATAATCAGCCCTTAACTTCTCATCACCATCCTGGGAGGGGTGTGTGGCCCAAATGTTGGTGCATTCTACAGGCAATACGTAGCATTCGGAGGTCACAGGAGCAGTTCCCAGGGCAGTTCCCTCAGCCCAGAGGGCCTGGCATTGGTCATACCCTTTCTGCTTACCCAAGAGGCAGGAATCACATGAGGCTAAGTGGGCCAACTGGGTCTGCCTGCTATAGCTTCATGGGTATTGTATGAGTGCCCAGCTTCTAACTCATTATCTACAGTGGCTCTTAAGTGCCATCCCTCTCTTTCCTAAGGGGACTCTAGGCTCTCTTGGGTGCTCAGACCCCACTTTCCCCCAGGCAGCTTTGGGTCAGACTGGGGCCATGTGTAACTAGGGCAGGTGCCTTCCCTGAAGTCTTTGTCTGGCAGCAGTTCAGCTGTCTTTGCCAGGTCTGGCTCACAGAGAGGGAGCCATGCTATTTTATTGACCAGTCTCTGGGAATCCTGCCTTGGGGACTTCTGCCCTATGGGGCCTTCTGTGGTTGCCATAGTATAGGCAGCTGCAGGCCCAGAAAAGACAACCTGAAGCTGTCACCTCCTTCCTGAAACCCCAGGAAGGGTGTTATGATAAGTTTTTACTCTAAGCCACCCAAGGCCTGCTGCTACATGGGTGCTTTCCGCCAGGCTGCCTGACTTTTGCCCGCTGCCACGTTAAGGTCCCAAGTAACACACAAAGACTTATATTAGGTACAAATGCTGCTTGGCCAATCGAATAGGATTTCTTATATGCTAGCTCAGTCTTAAGTATCAACCATAAAGACTTATCTTATTGGATGCCAGCTGCTGGCATCTTCATTTGCTGGGATCACATGGCAGCTCCAGAGCAGAGAGCGGAAGGAAGAGAAAAAGGGGATGACTTCCTTCTTGCCCTTGCTTATATATGAGTCTGCCTGCTATGTCACTTCCTATCTGTATCACAAGACTTCCTTTTATTACATTTCCCACAATCCTTCTTGACTCCTAATCCTGCCTAACCTGCTTCTTCATTGGCCAACAGTACTTTATTCAACAGCCAATAAGATAAACATATACAGAGAAGGGCATTCCCCATCAGAGGGGTTTCAAGTATCTGAACTTATGAGCCTTGAAATGAGAATGTGGGAAAGATGGAAAGGTCAAAAATGGCTGTATTGAAGAATTGCCTGTGTGTGTGTGACCCCTTGGAGATCACACTGATTTTGTTTTTTAGTGTGTTTTACCTCCTGTCCTGCTTGCTCTTTACAGCAATTTTTTTTTTTTTTTTATAATGTAGATCAAGAAACAGATCCAAAATGGGTGGTAGTGGTGCATGCCTTTAATCCCAGCACTAGGGAGGCAGAGACGGGCAGATCTCTGAATTTGAGACCAGCCTGGTCTACAAGGCCAGTTCCAGGACAGCCAGGGCTATGCAGAGAAACCCTGTCTCCTGGGAGGGGTGGGGGTGGGGGAGAAAGATCCAAAGAAACAGCACAAAATGTGTCAGGCTCATTCTCCTGTTGAGAATTTATCAGGCTAGGTATCACTGTTGGCAGAGTGCTTACCTGGCATGTGTGAAGCTTTGTGTTCAATTCTCAGTACTGCATAAAACAAACACAGATACCCCCTCCAGTAGTCCCAGCACTCAAGAGGTGGAGGCAAGATCAGAAAGGCAAGGTCATTCTTACTTATGGTAAGTCAAGGGATTCATGAGGTCCTCTCTCAAAAACCAAACCAAAACAAAACCAAGGGCCTTTCAAGATGGCTCAGCAGGTAGACACTTGCCTGCCAAGTCTGACAAACCCAAGTTCAATCCCTGGAGCCCATGTGGTAGAAGGAGACCAACTCCCACCAGTTGTGCTCTGCTCAAGCATGCACGTACATGTGGGGTCCAAATGCTGGCATGTCCTCATGGAATCCTGACCCGAAGACCAGGAGGCTGGCCAGGTGGTGTTTTCCCATTTTCAGGAGAAAGAAGCCAATGTTTAAAGGTGAGTAACTGGCCCAGGCTCTCCCAAGTGGTCAGTGACAGCCTGGACAGACACAGGGACTCTGTTCAGATTCACCCAGCTCCAATTCAGGACGGAGGTGAGTGGCTGGTAAGTGTGCCCTGACAGTAGCTTCTTTTGCAGGTGCGCTGGTATCCCTCTTCTGACACCACTCAGCAAGGATGGAAGTATCGCCAGTTCTGTTAGCTCCTCAGTAAGTGTTGGCACAAGAGGCCAGCATCCTTGATGCTGGCTGCTCACATGGCTGTGGTCCTCTCTGCCCAGTCCTGAGAGCTTGCTATGCTGTTGGCTCCTTTCTGTCTTTCTCCTGTTACCTTGCACCCACTTTTTCAGCCTCCATAGCCAGCTCCCATCCCACTGTGCTCATGGCCACCTCTCTTCCCCTCCCTTCAGGTCTTGTCACCCTGGAGTTGGTCCTGGGTTGTGTGGGGCCAAAACAGGGCTCTGCCCTACTGCCACGTGAGGCCTGTGCAGAACTGCTGCTTCCCTCTAGACACTGTGAATCTGAAGCCTGACTCAGTGGACGGCTCTTGTTTCCTTCTTCTTCAGTTCTCCAAGGCCTTCCAGGAGGATCGGGAGGCCTTCCTACTGGGACACCTAGGCCCAGCTTGTCAGCCTCATTGGGAACCCAGCACAGCCTGACCTCCTGCTTAAACTTACTTCTGTAGTTCCCCATCAAGGAAAAGGGACATTTAATTTTGCATGTTTATGAATTGTGACACTTAAACTTGTACGGTTTGTTCCCACACTGTTGCCATAGCAACAGGTCTTGGCACTGGAGGCTTGTCAAGCCTAGTCTTTCTCTCTATTCCTGACTCCTACACCCACCCTACTTCAAGGAGGCCTGAGTCTTGCAGCCACTTCTGACCTGAAGGCCCCGCTCCCAACACACACACACACACACACACACACGTAGACTTGTAGACTATCCTCATCTAGCAGCAGATCACAGCGCCTCTGACTTTCACCTCCAGAGTCCTGCATCGTCTCCTTCTCCAGAGGGCTGACAAGCCTAAGAAGCCTTCACTGTGCCTCCCTCCCTCAGTGCACCCCACCCTGCCACTGCTCTTCATTCTTCCTGAACTTTGAAACCAACCAAAACCTGAAAAGTATTTTTGTACCCTATGTAACAAAATATTTATGGATCATAAATGGTTTTTCATGTGTTTACCATTAATTATTGAAGAGACCTTGTTCAGCCTGTCGGATAAGTTTAATGTTTAGTTTGAAGCATGAAGAAGAAAGGGGTTTCTGTTCCTTAGCAATCGGCCTTTGTGTCAGGCATTGGTTTAAGAAGAATGAGATGAAGGATGAATTGTGCAATTTTGTTTTATTTTACAAGCATGTCCGGGCTTTACCTTTAACCTCAGCTTGGATGTTTGGCTGCTTCGGACTGTGGGTGATGTCTGGAGGTGGCTATTGTAATTGCTGACCCTGTGAGAATGTGAAACTGGATCATAAATGAAATGCAAAATAAAAACCTGAAGTGACTGTGCTTTGATTTGTGCTCGTACATTCCATGGGGTTTCAGGCTGCCAGGCTGAGGGATGACCAGAGGGAAGCTGGGAACATTCCTGGCCTGGTGGCTGTCTGGGTGGGGATACCTAGGACTTGCTACTGTTACTGCTGCCTTCTGTAGTTACAGGAGGAACTGACCTGCACCACGGTCATACAGGTGCCCACTGTCCGTCATCCCATCATGTATGATGAATTCCCTCTTTGGTAAAGAAATTCTGAGTGCAGAGAGCCTTAGTCCCTGCACCCTGTCAGGGACCTGAGTGTGCCTTTATCTACTCACCTTCACCCTCCTGCCCTGTGGTTCTCAAACCCTCTAGGAAGAAAGAAACTGAAGTTGCTGTGCTAGGTCTGATCTTGGTGTACATCTGTGAGGCTGGCTGTAGCCCAGGTTAAAGCTAACCCATGATGTTGGCTGTAGACTGCAGTTGATACCTGGGTAGAGAACAGAAGGTCCCTGAGGTGGGCTATGCTGAGAGCCTGGGCTGGCATAGACAGGGTGACTCTTCTGTGACATGGTGTTTCAGTTTAATAAGAGAGTGGCTTGAAGGCTTTTCTAGTTCCTACCGGAAGGCTGGAGTTCTGAGTTTGCTTTTCTTTTGTCCATCCTGGTACTAGAGGGTACGACCAGTAGATAGTGCCTGCCGCCTCCTGGTTCCCACTGAATAAAGTGGCAGTGGCTGTGGCTGGCCCTGGGTGCACCCCCTTCTGTGGTGTGGCTTGGGTCTAGGGTGTTAACTGCTGACAGGTGTGTCAGAGGTGACATGTATCCAGGTGGTAAGTGGGCTAGGAGGGGCACAGGCAAACACAGGCTTTGGGGTAACGGGGTGGCAGGTGGGCAGGTTACCTGTACCCCAGAGGGAGATTCAGGGTGGGGGGATGTACCTGTGCTTGTACCAGGAAGAAGAGGAATTGGGTCTTGTCAGTACCCCTTACTGGTGTGTGGTCTTGTCAAGCATGCAAGGGCCGTCCCAGCCTGCTGCTCCTTCTAGCACCTCCTCCTAGCATGGAGAAGAAGCTGTTGTAGACCTGACAGCCCCTTCCCAGAGCAAGCCATGGCCTGACCTACTTCAGCTGTGTCTGGATCCACTGGGTCTTCCTGAGGTGCTGAATTATTTAGTTGGGGTGCCTTGGTCTTTCTGAGAGGGGTAGAGGAAGCTACTCCATAATTTAAAAGGCCCCCATGCCTGTGGCTTCCAGGGGCAGGGTGAGGGAGGAGGGGGACTCCTTCACGCTTTACTGAGCAGGGCCCAGGCCTTGGCCTGATAAGAGGGAGGGAGGTCCTGCAGCCTTTCCAGCTGGTTCTTCGTGTGCCTCTGCAGACAGGCTTCAATGGGCTGTCACATCTGGACTGAGCTTGAATGGACAAGCAGAGCCACCCACAGTTAAGGAGTTGCCTGGTAAGGTACGGTAAAGCTGGACTCAGAAGCAGCCTTGTCCAGAATGCCTGTGGTATGCTCGTCAGAAAAAGCCAGCAGGTGTGTCATCCTGGTCTCTGATGGCAGGAGTATTGGTTAGGTGTTGTCAGTTTGACACATGCCAGGATCATCAGGGGAGAGGGAAATGAGAACATGTCTCCATCAGATTGGCTTGTAGACAAGTCTGTGGTGCATTTTCTTGATTAAAGACTGATGTGGGAGGACCTGCCCACTTTGGGCAGTGGTTCTGGGCTGTACAGGAAAGCTGGCTGGGCAGCCGGTGGTGAGCAGTCCAGAAAGCAGCGCCCTGCTTCAAGGTTCCTGCCTTGGCTTCTCAGTGGACGGTGGCCTGGGGTATGTAAATCGAAAAACTTTTTCCTTCCAGTTTCTTTTGGTCACCTTCTTTATCATGGCAACAGAAACTTAAGACAGAAGGAGTATGGTTTCTTCCTTTCTCAAAGGACCAGAGAGTCAAGTAATACTAAGTTATTTGGGTGCAGACCCCTTCTTAACAGTACCGAACTTCCCAAGGTGGGGACCGTAATCACACATCCCTGCTTTGCTAGAGACCAGTGCTGAAGGTGCCTGAGAGGACTGTGGCTGCTGCCCCTGCACCCACCCCAGGAGAAGTTGGCTGCTGACAGATTGGTTTGCCTTCATCTTTTTGAGATTCTGTAGTTTGATCAGCAATTTTTAGTGATTTTTTTTTTTTAACTGTGGAAAGTTTATTGGGGGGACGGGAAATAAGGGAGTTAAGGAAGGAAAGAGAAGAAAGATGGAGACAGAGAAGGCTGCCTCCTCAGAGAAAGAGAAGCACTGATGGCAATTCTTATCATGGGGCCTTGCAGGAGAGTGGATTTGTAGGCTCCAGGCTGTGTGGGTTGCCCTACTCACAATCTGGAAATCAGTACCAGGTAAGAACCCAGCCGACGTGGGGCCAGAGGTACGTAGAAGGACCAGGACTCTTCTCTGCCTGGCTGATCCGGCAGTTTCCTGAAGTCTGAATGAAGACTTTTTGGTTAGGAGTTCTGTCAGCTTGTAGACAACCCCTGAGAAATGGGCTTTAAACTCAGAGTACAGTTACAGAAAGTGCCAGAAGGGACTGCCATAGCCTGCAATGATTTAGGGTCTTACTTTTGTCTCCTGATCTGGAATTTTCCCAGGCTGACTTCAAACTCATGGTAACCCTGTTGTCTCAGCCTACTAAGTACCAAGTTTCAAGCATGTGACACCGTATCTGACATTTATTTTATTTTTACCAAAAAATGAAGTGTAGATTAAAACTTATGTTCTGTTCTTGTCAGAGATTGTCAGGGATCAAAGTCATTGAAGTGTGTGTGTGTGTGTGTGTGTGTGTGTGTGTGTGTGTGTGTGTGTGTGTGCGCGCGCGTGCTCACCATGTATTCTGGGCTGGCTGGCCTTGAACTTTCAGTAGTTCTCCTACTCCATCAGCCACCATGCTTGTCACTGAAAATTTTATTATTTTTAAGATTTATTTATTTCTTATGTACAAAGTGTTTTGTCTGCATGTATGCCTATAGGCCAGGAGAGGGCACCAGATTCATTATAAATGGTTGTGAGCCACTTTGTTGTTCCTGAGAATTCAACTCAGGACCTCTGGAAAAGCAGCCAGTGTTCTTAACCTCTGAGCCATCTCTGCATCCCCTGTTTTTGATTTTTCATCTAATGTTCTACTTGGGAGAAAGAGGAAGGTAAAATGGGTCAGAGGCCCAGAAATCATTAGAGTATAGCCTCAGATGTTTTCACTCTGTGCTAACTACTCATTTTTTGTACATGGATTTTTCTGTCCTTCCTTCCAGCTCCTAAGTCATGACATGGAGACTTATTAATTATAAAAGCCTGGCCAATAGCTTAGGCTTGTTTCTAAGTAGCTCTTATAACTTAAATTAACTCATTTCTGTTCATTTACTTTCTGTCTCGTGGCTTCACTACCTTTACTCTGTACTGCCCCTGCTGCTTCCTCTGTCTCTAGCTTGTGACTCTCTGCATCTCTTCCCTTCTTCCCAGCATCCTCTCTGCCCCAAAATCCTGCCTAGCTCTTGGCTGTTCAACTTTTTATTAAACCAGTCCAAGTAACAAATCTTCACATTGTACAAAAAGATTATTCCAGAACACCTTTTAGAGGAGAGGCTGCAGAAGGTCAGTGCAAGGCCTTGTATATGGCACTCTCTACCACTGGGTCGCACCCTGGCCTTCTTACAAGCCACTGAAGAAGAAGCAGAACCTGAGTCTGGCCCCTTAGACTACTCGACCATCCTAATACCCTTCATTTTGTTTTGAGACAGCCTCGCTCACTGTGTGGCCTTGGCTTCCTTGGAACTTGCTATGTAGATCAGACTGGCCTCAAACTAAGAGATTTGGCTGCCTCTGTCTTAGTGTCACCAGTGACCTGACACCCTGTGAGAAGCCTCTGGGGATCTCAGGATTCTACCAGCAGGAGGAAGAGGATCACACATTCCTGTCCTGATGTGGTGTGGGTGCATACGCTGTCTCTCGTGATCACCGTAAATGTCCTTTGAAGCAAGAAAGGTATTTTCATCTACTTTTTGTAGCTATGGAAACTGAAGGTAAAAGCTCCCATGGGAACTTTAGCAGGTAAAGGTGCTTGCTACCAAGCCTGACATCCAGAATTTTATCCTTGGGATCCACATAGTGGAAAAGGAGAACCAACTCCTTCAAATTGTCCTCTGACCTCTACTATGTACATGGTGGCATACATCTACCCCCACTGATTTTTTTTTTTTTTCTTCCAATGAGGGAGAGCTGAGTGGTGGTGGTGCATGCCTTTAATCCCAACACAGGTGAATCTATAGAGTGGGTTCCAGGAGAGCCAATGCTACACAGAGAAACCCTGTCTCAAAAAAAGAAAAAAAAAAAAGAAAAAAAAAAAAAAAAAAAAAAAAAAAAAAAAAAAAAAAAAAGCTAAAACAAAACCCCAAAACCCTCAGAAAAGAAAAATCCCACAGAGGGAGATGGCTTGATGGGCAAACGCTTGCTTTGCAAGCATGAGGACCAGAGTTCAGATCCCCAGAACCCATGTAAAAAACTGGATGGCTGTGGAGGTCCACTGTAATCCTAGCATCGAGGTGGCAGAAAAGGGGTCCTAGGATAAGAGGCCTATCTCGAGGAGCTGCACCAGCAAGCATCAGGTTTAGCAGGAGACCTTGCCTCAAATCCATAAGCAACCAGCAGCTGAGAGCAATTGCTAGTACAGACAACCTGGGTTCTGTGCTCAGCATCCACATCAGGTGTTGCACAACCACTTGTAACTCCAAACTCTCTCCTGGAAGCTTGGGCAGCTGCATAAAGAATACATTTACAGGGGCTGAAGAGATAGCTCAGTGGTTAAGAGCACTGACTGCTCTTCAGAGGTCCTGGGTTCAATTCCCAGCACCCACATGGCAGCTCACAACTGTCTGTAATTCCAGTTCCAGGGGACCTGACACCCATGGCAAAGAACCAATGCATATATTAAAAAAAAAAAAACCATATATACTTAGGCACACACATTTTTGTAAAGAAATCTTATGTGTATTTGTGTTTTGAGAGCATGTTCATATGTACCATGTATGTGCCTGTGGAAGCTAGAAGAGGGTGTCCGATCCCCTCGAACTGGAGTTGTGAACTGGCATGTGGGTGCCGTCGGTCAAACAAGGCCCTCAGTGTGTGCACCAGGTGCTCTTCTCACAGAACACACTGCTCCAATGGACCTGGCGCTTGGTGCAAGTTGGAATGAGGCTCAGTGTACAGTCAGGGACCTGGATGGCTGAGCTGTTCAAGTGAGGAATACCCAGGAATGGGAGAGTTAGGCGGATGGTCCAAAAGTCTTCTCTCTCTGGCTGCCATTCTCCCACCTGTCTTCCCAGCCACGCCAGGCTGACTGTGATAATGTAGTCCTGGCATCCCAGGAAAGGGTCACTTGAGTTAGTGGTTGTTTCTATCCAAAGTCAGATTCATCTTCCTAGAATCTGCAGAATCTTATCACCTGGAAATCGACTCTGCAGGAAAGAAAGAGTTGGAGTAGAGGTGCCATTTGTTCAAGAGGAGCAAGGTGCAAAAGCCAGAGCTAACATCTTCACTAAGAATTTCCCCAGGACTGCACTCCCTAATGTGTATTTGCGTATATATCTGATATATTCACCATTTGCTGATGGCCACAGTCAGGCATTTGGAAACAAGCCCACTCTGGATTTTGGCTTCTTCCTTGTGCCTTCAGGTCAGGATATTGACTTGTGTTCACAAAAGATGCCAGTGCCTTGTCCTTCACAGGAAACCTCAGAGTGACCCTACCCTACGTGTTCTTTCCTGTGTCTGTAGACGTGGCAGACTCTGTGGCCACAGGAAGCCACTTGTTTTTTTGGGGGGGTGGGGTGGGGGGTGCGTTTTCAGACAGGGTTTCTCTGTGGCTTTTGAGGCTGTCCTGGAACTAGAGCTCTTGTAGACCAGGCTGGTCTTGAACTCACAGAGATCCGACTGCCCCTGCCTCTCGAGTGCTGGGACTAAAGGTGTGTACCAGCAACGCCTGGCTGCCACTTGTTCTTTTTAGTTTAGTTGGGTTTTGGTAGTTGGTTTTTTGTTGTTGAGACGATTTCATGTGAACCAGGATGAACTTGAGTTTACTGTGTAACTCTAGGTGACCTTGGCCTTTCATGCTCCTACCTTTGGGTGCTAGGCTTACAGCCACGCCTGTCTTCTTATCCTGCCTCCATCCTATGCCCACTTGTGCTTGTGTCTCATCTCTGGCCCTTGTTCATCACCTGGTGGTGTAAAGGTGAGGTTTCAGTTTTTCTGTTCCTTTCACTGTGCTGTTAATAGCTGAGGCATTATCTAGACCATGGGGCTGTGGTGCCCTCTTCTGGTGAAAGAGCTCAAAGCTATTTGGCTGTTTTCCTTGGGATCCTCCAGGACAGACTTGACCTGGACCTGAGCTGTCTTGGCCCCTGCTCCAAAGCTCAGAGTTAGGCAGTCAGTTACAAATATGTGCATGTTTTTCATTCTAGACTGTTACACAAATCACTGATCCTAGGGATCAGTGTTAGACCCCAAGATAACCGATTCATTCGGCAACCTCAACTTATGGTTAGAGGAGCTTCAACTCTAAGGGGCCGAGAGCTATGTCCAAGTTCAAGATCATTCATATATACATAATTGATACAAAACTCAGGTGTCCACAGCACAGTGGGGTATGTCGGCTCATGCCTGTAATCCCATCACTTGGGATGCAAAGACCGAGAGATCATATCATGTTCAAGGCTACTCTGGTTGACATTGTTAGTAACAGGCCATCTGGGTAACATATTGAGATTTTAGCTCAAAAGTCAACTCAGTGACCTCAGTTTCTTTCTAGTGCACTGGTTCAATGTTTTTAGTAATTAGTGGCCATCTGCCTTCTAACCACAGCTGATACTCCCAGAGTTTATATTTGGTGTAGCTGGTAGACTTTGTGCCCACTGGAATGAGAGAGCTAGACACCCCTGGTAGCTGAAATTTAGAATTTCCCCTTCCAGCCACCCCTGTTTCACGACATCACTTTGTAAGCCTTTCCTGGACATTGCCTAGGCCAGAAGCTCCTTTAGGGCATAGGTCATGCCATTGTCACAGTCAAGGGCACTTAGTAGTACCTAACATATGCCACCTAGTTGGCTACTTCACTTTTGTTTTTTGAGACAGGGTTTCTCTGTGTAGCTTTGGAGCCTGTCCTGGAACTCCCTCTATAGACTTTGCTGGCTAACTCACAGAGATCCGCCAGCCTTTGCCTCCAGAGGGCTGGGATTAAAGGTGTGTGTCATCACTACCTGGCTGGCAAGCCTCTTTCCATCTCTGGGCATGTGTCTTCAGGGGACCCAACTTCTATGGGAGTCCTTACCCAGCAAAAATAATGGGAATGTTCTGAAGGCACAATGAGATGCCCTGGGCAATCATTTTCATGTTTCTGAAGTTTCCAAAGGTAAGCCATTATTGCTTGGTGGAGCTGCTCTGAGTCAAGAGCTGAATGTCTAGATGTTTTCCAGTTTGGGTATGTACCGCCCTGTTCTCTATGAAATTCTAGGCTTGGTCAAGAGTTGCACACACCGAGTCTGTAGGGGCCAGAGATGATAAGGCTGAGGGAACAGTGGTGACTGAGTGACAGGATTCATGGTAAACAGTTCTCAGCCCCAGCTGCTCAGCAGGGTGGGGAACCTATGTGTGTGTGATGGTTTGAATATGCTTAGAAAGGATTGGCACTATTGGGAGGTGTGGCTTTGTTGGAGGAAGTGTGTCACTAGGGGCGGGCTTTAAGGTCTCAGAAGCTCAAGTCAGGGCTAGTGGAGCAACCAATGTCTCTTCCTCTTGCCTATGGATTCAGATGTAGAACGCACAGCTGCATGTCACCATACTTCCTGTCTTGATAATGGACTAAACCTCTGAACTGTAAGCCAACCCCAATTAAATGTTTTCCTGACAGGCAGTGGTGACACACACACTAGGCAGATCTCTATGAGTTTGAGGCCAGCCTGGTCTACGGAGTGAGTTCCAGGACAGCCAGGGCTACACAAAGAAACCCTGTCTTGGAGGGTGAGGGTGTTTTCTATTATAAGAGCTGCTGTGGTCATGGTGGTGTTCTTTAAAGCAATAGAAACCCTAACTATGACATGTGGCTTAATATTTTTTCTATAGAAAGACACTCAGAATTTAATGTAAAAGTTCCTAATTCTGGTTGTTGGTAACTAAGCAAGCAAGCAAACAAACAAAACAAAACAGAAAAAAACCTGAAATCTATTGTGTGTGTTGAACCTGTGTTGAGCTTGTTGCTTTGCACCTGCAGTTCAAAAGAACCCGTAGTTTTCATTCTGTGCAGTGAAGTCTACAGACAAAAATTTGCCTTCAAGTGCTAAGCCGTCCCCACCTGTGCTTGGCAGTCCCACCCCCACCCCCAATCCTTCCACAGTAACTTTCTATAGCTGGCAAAGAGCCCTGCACAAAGACCATGCTATCTAAACCTCTTGTCTTTACCCAAATCAGTACTGACCTGAGGAAGAACCGAACCTGGCTTTCTAAGGATGCTTTTGGATGTCTTCGAGCAGGGATGTTGAATATGATTGTTATTTACAGGTGGGTACATTTGTTTGTTTTCTGTCTTTTAGGGCTGGGGTTGGGTAGTTGAGATAGGATCTCACAAGGCCCACATTGGTCCTGAACTCACTGTGTAACTGAGGATGATGACTGAACTCCTCGTGATACTCCTGCCTTCATACCTCAAGTGCTAGGATTAGAGGCATGTACTACCATGCCCTTTAAAAATTGTATTGTTGTGCCAGGCATGGTCAGGTAACCTTTAACCCAGCACTTGGAAGGCACAGGCAATCAGATTTCTAAGTTTGAGGCCAGTATGCTCTACATAGTGAGTTCCAGGACAGCTAGGGTCTGTAGAGACACTGTCTTGATGCGTGTGTGGTATGAGGTGGTGGTGGATTGTATCAGTTTTTTTTTTAAAGGTTCTCATATCGTAGCCCACGCTGGTCAGGAACTCAAGGTGATCTTTCTTTAGCTTCCCAAGTGCTGGGATTAGAGGTGTGAGCCAACACACATGATTTGGATGCATATATGATAAAAAAAAATTAGGGTACACTTGAAGCAAATGATTGAAAGACTGAGTGTGAAACTGGATATGATTGTGCTTGTAATTGAGGAGACTTGGTAAAGGACAGAGAGTAGGTCTCTGACTTCCACCCATGCATGTTCCCCATGGGAATTGAACTCACATTGTCAGGCTTTACCTGATGACCTATCTTGCTGATTATGTTTTTTTTGTTGTTGTTGTTTTGTTTTTCGAGACAGGGTTTCTCTTTGTAGTTTTGGAGCCTATCCTGGCACTCGCTCTGGAGACCAGGCTGGTTTCGAACTCACAGCGACCCTCCTGCCTCTGCCTCCTGAGTGCTGGGATTAAAGGCGTGCGCCACCAACACCCGGCCAGTCATGTTTGTTTTTGTTTGTTGTTTTGAAGCAGTGGCCCAGGTGGGCCTCAAAGTAATTCTGTAGCTGAGGATAACTTTGAACTCCGGATCCTCCTGCCTCCACATCTCAAATACTGGGATGGGGTGTACTAATACACCTGGTTTTGTGTCCTAACTTTTTCTTTTCTTTTCTTTTTTTGTTTTGTTTTTGTTTTTCAAGACAGGGTTTCTCTGTGTATCCCTGACTGTCCTGGAACTCACAGAGATCCTCCTGTCTCTGCCTCCTGAGTGCTGGGACTAAAGGCGTGTGCCATCACCACCGCCTGGCTTGCGTCCTAACTTTTGACCAAGACAAAGTGTAATGATCATGGCAGTGTAATGAGCAAGAGTATCTCATACTCTGTTTCAAGTGATGGGGATAATGGAGTGTGGTGTAGACTGTGGCAAAATGGACAAATGGGTAGCCCAAGCACTCTGAAAAGAGTAGACACTCACTTGTTATGTTTAAAGATCTGTTTCTAATTGTGCATGTGGTTTTGTACAAGTGAATGCAGGTGCCAGTGGCAGCCAGGGGTGTTGGATCTGCCTGGAGCTGGAGTTGCAAGCAGTTGTGAATTGCTTGATGTGGGTGCTGGGAATCAAACTCTGGTCCTCTGCAAGAGAGGTGAGTGCTTGTAACCACTGAGCCCTCGCGCCAGCCTCAAGAGTAGATATTTACCACTCAGTCAGATCAACTGCAAGCTCAGTAGTTTAGTTTTGTTTATTTCTTGCATTGTTTTTAAGAAAAAGTTTCATGTAGCTCAGGTTAACTTTGAACTTCATATGTGACCAAGCATGACCCCGGACTTCTGATCTTCCTGTCCCATCTCCCCAGTCTCAGCATTTGTCATCACTCACGGTTTACCTGGTTGTTGTGAGTGAATTTTCTTTGAGCAAAGCCATCATTATCTTTGGGAGTTCACCTGTGCCCTCTTTCAAAAGGATTGGCCCAGCTGGACTTATATTTATTTATTTTCGGGTTTTTGAGACAGGATTATTCTGTATAGCCCTGGATGTCCTGGAAGTCTGTAGACCATGGGGGCCTTGAACTCAGAGATCTGCCTGCCTTTGCCTTCCAAGTGCTGAGATTAAAGACGTGTGCCACCACAGCCAGCTACAGAGGGGCAGGGAGGGTCATAGACCCTCATCTGCGTATCCAGCCACTCCCAGCTGTATGCAACTCTACCTAGTGTGGTTCTCAACCTGTGGGTTGAGACCCCTTCAGGGGTCACATATCAGACATTTACATTATGATTCGTGGCAGTAGTAAAATCATAGTCATGAAGTAGCAGTGAAATAATTTTATGGTTGTGAGGTCACCACAACATGAACTGTGCTAAAGGGTTGCAGCATTAGGGAGTTGAGAACCATGGTTCTAGAGTGTGTAGGCTGGGGAAGACTAGGAAAGGGGGCTCCATGTGGCTACTCACCTATGAAGTTCTCATCTTGGTGAAGACTTATGACAGGAGGAATAATCCTTCACCTGTGCTCAGGAAGCTCAAGAAACTTAGCAGCTTCCTGGAGTGAACTCCACTGCGGCTGTGCCTCTTTTTGCCATTGTGACCTTAGGAAGAGTGATCCACGTTGCTTATGTCTGCCCTTGGGAAGGAATTTTAGCAACATTGGTGCTGAGGATCAAATTCAAAGCTTCACGAATGTTAGGCAAGTGCTCTATCAGCTGAGCTGCATCCATAGCCTCTGCTGTGGTTTTCTGAAACAGGTTTTGTTTATTTAATTTTTTTAAAAATTAATCCTGAGACAGGGTTTCTCTGTGTGTAGTTTCGGCTGTCCTGGAACTCAAGCTATAGACCAGGCTGGCCTCGAACTCATAGAGATCCACCTGCCTCTGCCTCCCAAGTGCTGGGATTAAAGGCATGTGGAAACCCCACTAATGGGCTTGAAACAGTGTCTCATCATGCCGCCCAAGCTCAACCTCAGAATTCTCCTGCTTCAGCCTCCTGAGTGCCCGAATTACATACAGTGCTGGGGGTAGGGGTGGGGGTGGGGGTTGTTCAATGTTGGCTTTATTTTTATTGTAACTTTATTTTGATGTTTGAGACTGGGTCTCACTATGTAGCCTTGGCTAGCCTAGAACTCACTGTGTAGACCAGGCTGGCCTCCCAACTCACAGAGATCTGCCTGAGTGCAAGGGTTAAAGGCATGAGCCACCATACTCATCTTAGCCATATTTATTTTTGTTAGATTGTAGATTACTGTGTGAAATCTATGTTTGGCTCAAAAAGTTCTTAAACATTGTGTTGGTCAAGCAAGCTGGGGCTGGAGCTGCATTTGGCCTGGGTGCTACTGTTTTGTGGTGTTATTTTAGAGCTTTTTGCTTGAAGGGTGAGCATTGGGCCTCTGTCTATGGGCTTGTGCTTGGCCCTGCTGTCTGATTGGTTATGAAAGGTTCTAGGCTTCCTCATAGATGGAAATGGCTGGCTGATTGGCTCCTGGCCCCCATCAGTTCCCATCTGCTTTTCAACATCCACCTAGTAATAGAGTTCTGCTGGGAAGCTCAGAAGTTCTAGAAGCTTCCTTGTTAGCCAAGGGAAGTCAGGTGATCCATATTTGCCCGGAGCCAAGAGATCCCCCAGAGAATTGGTCCTGTGGTTCTCTGTGTGCCTTCCAGGCTTTGAGGCTGGTTTCCATGCCTCTCTCAGGACAGAGCCCTGTGGGAATATACACTGGTAACTAGTTCTCAAAGGGCGGTGTCCTATGTCTAAAGGGGAAAACGTGCCAGATGCACATTCGGGGACACACACACACACACACACACACACACACACACACACACTCATAGTTACTGTACTTAGCACTACCAAGACCTTTTCCCACGAAGTCCCACAGTCCCAAGCATCCGGAAGGGCAGCCAGTCATGGGAATGAACCGAGGCCCCTTCCCTGTGGAAGCCCCACCCCACTCTGCTCCATTTACTCTTGGCCATACAAGCCCTGCTCCCCCACTGCTCCCCCCTCTACTTTCAGAGGAGGAAATTGCTGAACAATGTGGCAGATCAGAGAATGGGCACAGTGCCTGGAGCCCAAGGCCAGGACAGGTCTTCAGTAGGCCTTGGACTCTGACCTCTGGCTGCCCTGCTCCTGGGCAGACTCATGTTCAGGCCTCTTCATTTCTAGGAGACCTCCCTTGGGGAACATGTCCTCTCCCTTCATTTTGTCTCTTCTCCAGGGTAGAGCAGCCACCAGTGTCTTCCTTCACTTGTGTCAAGGTCAAATTCCCTCTGGACCAAGCCAGCCCTCTCAAAAGGCTCTCAGGCTCTCAGAGGGACAGATGGTAGTAATCACGTCATTTCTAGCTTCCTTGGGCCGGGAGGGTGGTGGGAACCACTACTTGTGTTCTTCCTGTTGGTCTAAAATAGTGTTCTGCCTTTGACCAAGAACCCTGGTCTCAAGCCTGACTCCTGGATTAATCCCAGTTTCAGTGTTCAATTCCCTCACCTCTTAAAATTTCTGGTTCAAGTCAGGTGTGGTGGCACACACCTCTCATCTTGGTGACTGAGGCAGAATGATCAACAGAGCTTAAGAGTTCTGGGCCACCTGGATTTCACAGTGAGAACCCATCTCAAAATGAAATAGTCTCCATGGTGGTGTACACCTGTAATCTCACACTTGAGATGTGGGGGCAGGTTGATCAAGGTCATTTTTGGCTGCATGGCAACTTCAAGGCCAGTCTTGAATAAAGATTTTAAAAAATGGATTTTAGGGCTGAGGGGGTGGGGCTCAGCTGGCAAAATGCTTAACTAGCAAGCATGAAGTCCTGGGTTTAATCCCCAGTATTGCAAAGGCCAGGTGCATGCCTGTGATCCCACACTTGGGAGGGAGAGGCAGGAGGATCAAGAGTTGAAGGTCAAAAGATTTGATGATATAGTAATTCCTTTTTGTTTTTACAGTCTTGGAGCTTTCATCCTGAAGAGCCTGAACAAACAGCCAATGATAGGTGTGGAGCTGCTTGGCCTGGACCAGCCAGCCTTGGATAGAGCAGGTAGAGGGAAAACAAATGCTAAAAGGAGCACACACCTTTGAAGTCCTAGTTTTGTAGAAATGTATCCTTCCTCTTATCCTTTTCTGCCTTATTCTCTTTTGCATCAGTAAGCATTCAAGGACATCATCACTCTTGTCCTTTCTAGAGATCAGTAGGGTTAGGTTTACCTTTTCGAGATACCTTCTAGACCACCATGTCACTTATATTATCCAGCTGGTCATTGGCACCATTACCCTGATTTTCACACAGGCCAGAAAGAGCTCCTGAAGACTGAAGTAGTTAAAGCCACAAGGGCAGATCTGGCAAGCAGATCAGTTTAGGTTTGTCTTACCCTGTTGCACCATAAGGCATTTGGTTTGGGGAGGGATGATCCAACCCAGAGTCTCACACATTCTAGGCCAGCATTTACCACAGAGCTATACAAAAAAAAAAAAAAAAACCCTATTTTATTGTTAATTGAAATTTAAATAGGGGCAGTTGTACAGGGCAGTATAGGTAGAGGAAGGTGGTCCCCATCCCTGTGGTATTTTCACTTACTGGCCTGGATGCATAAAGATGGTCACTTCTGAAATTGCAAACTGTGGCAGATGCTTCTGATTCCTCTCATGTAAATCTAGGCAACCTTGGATGTGAATTCTAACTTAACCCGACAGCTTTGAAATCAAGCAAGTTTCCTGCTGCATATAGGTCCTGTATAAATATTAACATGCACAGTAATTCTCTTCACCATAAAATAAAAATTAAAAGCTTCTGTGAAAATTAATGCTTTAGGAGCTGCGAAGAAGGCTTAGTTAGTGAAGTGCTCACCTTGCAAGTGCCAGGACTTGAGTGTGCTTGCCAAAACAAAAACAAAAAATATCAGTGCTGGTTTGCTCATACTGGCAAAACCAGCTCTGGAAGGTGGGTGATCCCAGGGACTTTGTTGACCCCACCAGCTTAGCTTACTTTGTAATTCCTGGTCAATAAAAGACACTGTCTCACTGGGTGGTGGTGGCTCATGCCTTTAGTCCCAGCACTCGGGAGGCAGAGGCAGGCAGATCTCTGTGAGTTCGAGGCCAGCCTGGTCTACAGAGCTACACAGAGAAACCCTGTCTCGAAAAACCAAACTAAACCAACCAACCAAACCAAAAAAAACCAAAACCCTCTGTCTTAGTAAATAAATAAGCAAGTAAGGTAGCTGACCTCTGAAGAATGTCACCTCAGGTTGTCCTTTGGCTCTACATGTATACACACATACCCCAGGTGGACCTGCACATACAGGAACATGTACACACACATGCATACCATCTGCCTCCACACAGACACACACACACACAAAAATGCTTAGTAAATGGTTGATGTTGATTATTGACATAGTGTGCTCTCAGTATTTGCTAACCGATTAATCAGACAGTGTCCTTCAGACTCAGGGTAACTTGCTCAGGATGGGCTGGCAAAGCTGAGGCACTCTCTTCTGGGGCCAGGAGAGCTGGTCAGGTGGGTGGAACTAGGCTTAATAGTCCGCTTCTGTTACATACTAATGTAAGAACTAACCTGACTTGAACTTGAAAAAGTAGGTTATGAATAGCTAGGGGTAAAAAGGTAGTGGATTTGTTGGGGGGGGGCACAGCTTCAAGATAAGTTCTCTCTGTGTAGCCCTGACTGTCCTGGAACTAGCTCTGTAGATCAGGCTGGCCTTGAACTCAGAGATCCGATTGCCTCTGCCTCCTGAGTGCTGGGATTAAAGGCGTGCATCACCACTGCCCAGCAAGGTAGAGGAAGAGCAGTCCTGTCTAAGTATCTAATGATAACCAAGACAGTTCTTTTACCACTTGCAATTTTGGTGAAAAACAAAACAAAACAAAAAAAAAAACCCTTAGTCTGATAGCTCCATCTTCTATATTATCTTGGCATTCTCATGATCTAAAAATTAAAAGTTTGTGCAATAGAATCATTGGGTCTGATAGGTAGGGTCACTTGAGATTTGGGGCTTGAGAAATGGAGGTCTTGGTGATCACTGAACATTGGAGTACTCTCCACCCTTCAAAATGTCCCTTCTACATGTTACTTTCTCTTTGGTGTCCCTCAGACTGAATACTTACCTCGTATTGTGATGGCCTGTTTCTGACCAGATTGTGACATCCAAGGTGGATACATTGCCTAGCCCATTGTGGAGTATTCCTGGACGCCTATCCATGCCAGAAACACATAGTGAGTAGCTGTTTGCTGAACTTTAACTGAATGGGTGATTTGAGGTGACCTCTGTGGTCTAAGACTCTCTGTCTCTGTCTCTGTCTTTCTCTGTCTCTCTCCTCTCTCGTTTCTCCCGTTCTCTCCCTCTCCTCTCCCTTCTTTCCTTCCTCTCTCTTCTCTTTCTCTCCCTCCTCCTTTCTTCCCTCTCTCTCTCTCCCTCTCTCCTCTACCTTTGCTTCTTTCTTCTGTCTGCCTTTGAGACAGGGTCTCACAGTGTTGCCCTGGCTGGCCTGGAGCTGTGTACACCAAGCTGGACTTCACCTCACAGAGATCCACCTGGCCTGGCCTCCTAGGTGCTAGGATTAAAGGCTAACCCAGTCTCTATTGATTGCAGTCTAAGTTGACTGTGCACAGAAGGTTGAAACTCATGGTTTTCCTGTGAGTGTGGTTGGGATTTGAGGGGTGTGTACGTTATTGACTGGCCTTTTGGCACTAATCTGTGATTAGACCACCAGTCTAGGAACCTTGCACTAGGAGCCTCGCATGATTGATTGAAGTAGCTTGCATTGATTGTGAGTGGAAGCAACTGTCAACAAGTTAGTGAGGAGCCTATGGTGGTTTTAGATGACAGTGTACTTGGTCAGTAGCTGGGGGAATTGACTTGTGATTGTCTCCAAAATGGAGAGGTTATTTTTTTCAACTGACAACGGGGGCCCAGCAAAGGTGGGGCGACAAAGGTGCTTTAAGTCATTTGGCAGGTTAATTTGCATTATGAATTGAAGGCAAGAATTGCAGGATTTAGATTCATATCGGCAATGCTGCTAATATAGGAGTAGTAATCTTAGATTTCAAGTTTTGTTTTGTTTAAGGAAATACACTCTCCTGATTACTGTCCGGTTTCGCCACACGCAAAAGCAGCGAGTGCCAATACGGTGGGGCACATCTGTCAACCCAGCATTTGGTGGAAGGTTAGGAGGTGAAGTGGGAGGATCAAGGGTTCAAGGTCATCCTCCAGGGAGTTTGAGCCTAGCCTGAGCTACAAGAGACTGTGTATCAAAAAACAAACAAAAAGCTGAAACGAAAACTGGCCTCAGCCGAACCTGAGCTCCTGGCTGGCAGACAGACCCCTATCCAGTTCCCTCGCCCCACCCCGGCTCCCGCCCTCTTCCCCTGCCTGGTACGCCTGCGCCTAGGCGGGGCGGCGCTTTGCCCTTTGTTGTGGGCCCCAGTTTCCCAGGACACCAAGCGGCGCTGGGGTGGGGTTATGCAGATGAGGCACTTGGGGGGCGGGGCGGTTGCGCGGCGGCGGCCGGGGAGGGTCAGTTGGAGGCAGGCGCTCGCTGAGGCAAGAGGAGGGCTCTCGGCCCGCGGCCTGACAGGGACTTAGCCCGCAGAGACCGGCCCGCGCGCGCGACCCCACACCCACCCAATCGTCCACCTACCCCCTCCCCGCGCCGCCTCCTCCCACCCTGAGCAGAGCCACCGAGGATGATACACACCCAGGACAGGTAACGGCCCGGCGCAGGCTCCCCGCCCCCTCCCTCTCTCCGCAGCTTGAGAGGCCTCCTTCTCCCCCTTGAGCAGCTCGTCTCTGGACCCCAGAGACTGGCTCCATCCGCCCCCACGGGCCCCCTCCGCCCCCCCTGCCACCTAGCCCCAGCCCTGATACTGGGCCTCCTTCCGTCATTTAGCCCCCTTCCTCCAGCCCGGCCCATCCCCCTCATCCGGGCTTCCTTCTCGCCCAAGTCCACCCCCCCCCCAACCTGGACCCAGTCACTCAGTCGCCCCTTTTTCTTAAGCCTAGCGGAACGGTGCCAGCTCCCCATACTGGGCTTTCTCCCACATATTTCCTGAATTGGTTCTTACCTTCCCTAAGTCTTTCTTACTCTCCACAAGTCACTTAATCGCTTTAAATCCGTCCTCTAGTGAAAACTGGACCCCAGTCAGACTTTTCTTTCTCAGCCCTGTCTTACTGGCTCTCCCCAAAGGCAAGCTCTGTTCTGCAGTCTTCTGCTCGACCCCGTACCCCCATTCCCACCCTCCTTTTGGATGCCCAGTTACCTCTTGGTCCCACTTTTCTTCCCCATCCTCCAGGTAGGCCCCATTTTCCTGTCTGGGAACCCCATTCCTTTTATCTCTCAAACACTTTGGACTCATTCCTGCCTTCCATCCTGTTTTCCTAATATGTTCCCAACACTCTTCTCTATACTCCAACCCTTTAAACACCATAAAGTCTTACTTAGTACTCATTTTACCTTCTCATCTGAACCCCGTCTTTAAAATCCTTAACATCACACAACTTAGTCCGTCCCCTTTCCTGAGAAGATCTTTAAATTTCGCTCCTGGCCTTCAGAGCACTACTGGGCCTTTACCCACTTAAAGGCCCAGTCCCAGTTTCCCACATGGTTGGGAGAGGGGCTACACATCCTTTTTCAAAGAGTGAATTTCTTAATTTTCATCCTCTAACCTCTCAAACAAAATAGGTGGAACTCTTTTCTCTACTTTCCCGAGCTAGCCCATATTTCTGCCCCAGATGTTCTCCAAAATGTTCTATAATTTTCCAACTCTTGATGATTTTTAACCCCACTAGCTTATGTGTTAGAGTGGCTTCCAGTAGCAATTCAGGTATGCTTCCTATCCCCTGTAGGGCTTGTTGCTGACCTCTTCAAAAGTTTCTTGAAACTCAGAGTCCAAATACCAGATCTTTTGTCCTCATATTTGACTTTTATGGTCTCTGACCTTAAACTGTGCCACGATCTTTCCAAAACCAGACATGACTTCCTCTTAGAAGTGCCATCTTCATAGTTGCTGTTCTTCACATAGGTTCCTCTCAGAGCTTGGGCTCCTTTTACTCTAAATGCTTGTAACTTTCTCTTCCCTACGTGTTTAGCAGCACTACCTTTTTCCCAACTCTTTCCCTCATATTGCAGTATATCTTAAATCTAGCTGCAAGCAAATAAACAATAAATAAATAAGGATTACTCCATTTGGCCTAGAGTAGAGCCTGGTTAGGGTAGAGCCCTAGAATGTGTATTTTTTTTTTTAAGATTTTATTTATTTATTATGTATACAACATTCTGCTTCCATATATATCTGCACACCAGAAGAGGGCACCAGATCTCATTACAGATGGTTGTGAGCCACCATGTGGTTGCTGGGAATTGAACTCAGGACCTCTGGAAGAACAGTCGGTGCTCTTAACCTCTGAGCCATCTCTCCAGCCCTAGAATGTGTATTTTTAAAGCTCCAATTCTCATGTGGAGCCTGGGTTGACAAATACTATGCTTTCACCCTAAGAAGGCTTATTCTTTCTCATCACATTCCTTCAGTGTCAGCCCCTCCTCTACTTGCAATGGCTTCATCTTTAGGGATTCTGTAATGTTCTTCTGTTAAGAAGGAAACTCTGAGCAAATGATGGTAGTGAACACTTTTAATCCCAGCACTCAGGAGGCAGAGGCAGGTGGATCTGTGAGTTAAGAGGTCAGCCTAGTCTACATAGTGAGTTCCAGGACAACCAGGGCTACACAGAGAAACCCTGTCTTTCAAAAAAAGGAAGCTCTCCTTTACCCCATACCTTTATTGCTCCATTTTTAGCCATTTTCTTTCCCCAATTCTCAAACTCTTCCTATACCTATTTCTTCTCTCTGTGTAGGAAACTCATGCCCTTATCTTGGTTTGTTATGGTTGTATCTGAGCCATTATCACCAACCTACCAAACCCTCCTTGCCTACAGCCCCATCCTGCTTTTTCCTTTTCCTTTTCAGAGACTTTGCATACAGTTCCCCTACTACATCCTATTTTTTATTCCATTTTCATTAACCCAGTCCTTCACAGCCAGGAGGTGGAGGTGGGTGTATACTTGGATGATGCAGGATGCAAAAGGTGCTGTTGTGGTCTGGAAAGCTGTTTGTACTGAGGATGGAGGGTATGTGAGATGGGGTTTTTCTCTGGGGGTTGGAAGTGGGGCATTTCAGCAGTCATTCTCAGGAGTCCTTTGGACTTATTGGGTGTAAGTGCCAAGTCCTTTGCAGCTTAAGCTAAACATACGAGTATTTGAGACCAACACTTAGGGGCCTTCACTGAGTTTCATTTGTGCCTCACTTAGCCAATGTACTTTCATGTGAAAAGAAGGGGATTGAGTTAGCTAAGGTTCCTTACAGCTGCCCAAGTGGCAGAACAGGCTCGCTTGTCTCCAGGGCCCTTGCTTTAGTGTGTTGGTAATTTGAGGGGTTTGGCTATGTGAGGCAGGTGGAGGGAGGAGTCAGCTGGCCTGCCAGGGCCTGGGCAAGTGCATGTCCTTGAATCAGGCTCATCTCCTTTGGCTTGGGGGTGGGGTGGGGTGTACAGAGAGTATCTGGTTTCTTTGCTTTATGGCAATCTTGTTTCCATAGTGTGCTTCCCGCCTCCTCTGCTGACCCTTAACTTTCTGAAAGGAATCCTGTTGGGAGTCCTAACTGGGGTTCTGATAACAGCCGGATGTTCTTCCCAGGCAGTGTTGGTGTTTTGAATGTTCTGTGTAGGGAGCTGGCTGAGAGTTTAGTTCCCATTGGGTGGGGGATGGGCTTTCCAACTTCCGTGGCCCCAGTGAAGAATCCATGAGAAGGGAGGCCTACTTTCCTGGAAGGAGCAGTTACAGAAGAGCTGGCTGGGCTTTGAAAACAAGGCTCTTCCTTCCTAGCAGTCAGATTAGTATCTCCAAAATGTCAGAAACCCTGGTGGTGGGGGAGGAAAGAAGAGCAAGTACAAGACCCAGACCCCTTTATTATGGTTTGAAAAATAGATTTAAATTGAAGAGGAAGTCAACTTTGACCTTTCTCTGCCTGGCTTTGTAGGGGCTGCTTGGGACAGTATGTGGAGTATAGTCAACACTGGCTTGGTTAGCCGTATTATAGTCAATCTGTGTGATGGGTTGTAGGGAGAAACATTTAGGTTCCACAGGTGTTTTGGGGGTTAGTAGGGAGGACTCAAAAGCATGTCAGGGCTACCAATAGCATCTTCACTGCATGGTTTCCTCTTCCCAAATAACTTGGTTTTGTTATTTCCCCCTTTCTCAGCAGTTTTGCTTGTTGAGTGTGGGGTAGTAGAGAGACTGACATATTCAGAAACATCCCTACCTTGGGTGTAGGCTTTAGAAAGCAATGGGGACTAATAATAGCAATTCCCCGTTCTGCCAAGAAATCCAAATTTAGACCTTGAGCTGTGCATATATATGAAGGAGCCTGAAGAGTAGGGCAAAGGCATGTTACAAATGAGCATTTCTGGGAAAAGCCATTCATTCTGTTTTGAACTGGTCGGTGTACAGTGGTAACTTAGGTTGATGCCATGACTTGGAAGGCTCTTTGAAAGTGATAGAACTGGGCATGGTGAAACATGCCTTTAATCCCAACACTCAGGAGGCATCAGCAGACAGGGCAGCCTGTTGTACATAGTGAGTTCGAGACCAGCCAGGGTTACATGATCAATAAGACTTTATCTGTGAACTACAACAATGAAAAACCAAGCCAAACAAAAAGTCCAGGAAGGAAGTTATAGAGTAGGCTGTATGGTTCAGTTGATGAGCAAGAATTTTGTTACTGAGCATGACAGTTTCCTGCTAGCAGCAGCAGCAGCACCAACAGCAAATGCCTTGTGTAAGAAAAGCTTTAAGAAAATTCCCAGGCCTTTAAAACTATATAAACAATGATGTAATCCTGCCCTCAGAGGGGAGGTTAGACTGTTTGAAGAGCTAACAGTATAAACTACACTGAAGAATTGAGAATGAAAAAAATACAGTACAGTTGCTTAGCTGTCCAGCAACCACAGGTGGTAATGTGGTGGTGTCACTGGCACATGTACTTCTTTTAGTTGTATGATTAGCACACATCAGGGGCACAGATTTTTCTGCCTGTCATCTGATGTTTCTTGTGGAAAATCAACCAAAACCAATTTTGCTTTCAGCCTATGATTCAGAGTGGTGATGTCATTTTCTTATAATCATGCTGATTAAGTAGACTCCCTTTGGAGCATATAACAGCTCTGGTGAAGTGACTTAGTCACTTAGGCCTGGCACCAGTCACAGCCTCTCTCAGATACAGAGGGGAGTTGACAGAAGTCAGCCTTTGTGGTCACCTTAGGTGAAGGTGGCTGATACTTGCTATCTTTCTTCTTAATATCCTTTCTGCTAAGTTGGTTGTAGCTCTGGATTAGTCTTGCTTTACGTAAGGGTCACTCATCAGAGATATTCCAAGTCTTAGGGTACAAGCGGCTTGGGTGAGGGAAGTGAGGGTGCCCTGGGTGTTGTGTGAAGCAGGGCCTGAGACATAAATGGGTCAGGAGAGGTGGAGGGAATGAATGTAGAATACTAGGAGTGTGGTTTTTGATGACACTACGAAGGCCAGCTGATCTCTCCGACAGGCAGTAGGGATGAAAGGGAACGTACTTCAATGGGTTGAGGAGAGCACTGCATTGGAGTGAAAAACTAAACTATCAGAATTTGAATTCCACATATTTGTTAAGATTAGGTTGTGCTTTGTGCATACTAAAAAATTAAAAAAAGGGCGGGGATGGATGTGACAAAGTAGGCTGTAGGGTTTTTTTGTTTTGTTGTGTTTTTCAGACAGGGTCTCACCTCCCTTAAATCACTGTGTAGCTTGAGCTAGCACTGAATTCATAGCAGTCTCCTGCTTCAGCCTCCCGAGACCTGGGGCTATAAATGTGAGTCACTTTAGTTTTTCCTTTTCCTTGTGGTACTAGGGCTCACTCAGACCCATGGTGTTGTACATTCCAAGCAAGTGCTCTACCACTGAGCTGTATTTCCAGTCCTAGAAGTTCTTTCTCATATTTAAGGATAGCTCTGGTATGGTGGCACATTTGGGAGGTAGAGGCAGAAGGATCAAAGTTCAAGGTCATCATGTACATAGTGAAATTGAGGCCAGGAAGGGCTAAATGAGACTCTTTCAATAAACATACACATGAAAAAATAAGGTTAATTCTTTAATTAGTAAATGCTGTCAAGGTTGAAAAATCTGATATGATAAAAATGTGATTTGAAATCAACATTTCCCAGATACACATCTGCTGCATACACTGCTTGTTGGTAGTCATATGAAATCATGACTTGCTAAGGACATTTCATATAGAACATTCATAGATGCATTGATTGCTGGAGAATGAAACCCAGGGCCCTGTGCTTACTAGGCAGGCACTCGCACTTAGCTTACAGATACTGTGAATTGTGGACAGTAAGTGAAACTGTGTATGGTACTGGATGATCTGAGGTGTGTTTCCAGAGGCAGGCCCTTTAACAACTGAAGAAACAGGCACAATACCAGCCAACTCTAAGCTCTCATGTCTTGTGAGTTGCTTTGGATGTGGCTACCTGACACCTTCATTGCCAGTATGGTCTATTTTCTCTTCTAAAATGCAGGACTGGGCCACTTGGATGTTGGGTACAGTAATCTTTTCAGCCTCTGGCCTTAATCTTCTTTAAAAAATGCATAAATCCATTTATTGTATATGCATGTGTATAGTGTGTAAAGGAGGTCAAAGCCTTGTTCATTTTCCTATGTAGGATCAGGGGATTGAACTCAGGTTATTAGGCTTAGTGGCAAGTCTTTACCTGTTGAACCATCACTCTCATATCATGCTAGAATGCTTAAATCCTTGGGGTTTTTTTGTTTTTTGTTTTTTCTTTTTTTTTTTTTTGGTGGAAGGGATTGAGCCATTTCTGCCCTCTAGTGGAGTAACTAAAAGTCTGTGGAAGGATTGGTTAAAAGCTGAAGGGAAAAAAAAAATGTGAAAGCTTTTGTAACTTGTGTCAAAAGGTTTGTCTTTAAGAAATCACATTTTCGAGGCAGAGGCAGGCAGATCTCTGTGAGTTCAAGGCCAGCCTGGTCTACAGAAGGATTTCCAGGACAGCCAGTAGTACAGAGAAACCCTGTCTTAAGAAACATAAACCACAGTTGAGTAGAGAGCTGCAGCTGTATGTGCTGGCTGCAGCGCAGCTTCTGGTTCCCCTGTGGCAGTGTGCTGTGGCTATGGGACAGGTTTGCTGCCGAGTCATGCTGTACATGGACAGTTTTACTTTCTCTGCCACGAAATCAGAACCAAAGAAGGCTGTAGAGTAGGTCTAGAATCCTTTTGCATCTGCATGAGGATTAAAGTAGCTGCCAGATAAGGGTATACATGTGGTGGCAACAGGGCCTGGAGAGCTTTTAAACATTTGTAAGCCATTTGAGCCTTTGAGTCTTGGCTTCTTATTCAGACACCCCCTTTTTTGTGCCTGTGTCTGTTTGGACAGTGTTAACATTACCCATGCTGTCACGCTCAGGTCAAGAAGGGACCTGAGTTAGTAGTGGAAGGCCCAGAATTTGGTGTGAGACCAGGGACAGATTCTACCGTGATACTCTGGAGCCAAGTTCAAGATTTAGTTTCATTCATAACCCTAGAACAGTTTGGGGCATTTTTTTTTTTTTTTTAAATAAAGATTTTATTAAGTCTTCTGCCTGCATGTCAGCAGAGGGCACCAGGTCTCATTCAAGGTGGTTGTGAACTCAGGACCTCTGGAAGAACAGTCAGTGCTCTTAACTGCTGAGCTATCTCTCCAGCCCCCCCCCCCCTTTTTTTTAATTGCAGTTCCTTTTTGGAGCTGGAGAATGGGAAAGTGTTGTAAGCCTTGGTAGTTTCTCAGCCAATGTTGCCACCCCTTTTGAAGTTTAGTGATTGTGCCATATAGGTGGCTAAGGCACCGATGGTTAAGGAAAGAGACTGGTTTGGGGGGGGGGCGCATGAGGCTGGAGACTTCTGTGTCAGAACTTGAACTGGAAAGTATTTGATAGGTCAGACACATCTAGCAGGACTGCCTTGGCCTTCTGGGACTCTTTGTGCCTCTTGACTCAAAAAAGTAGCATTTCTGGAAGTTCAAGTAGAAAGAACTTGGGCAGTGGTATAGCCTTAGAATACTTGTTTTGGCAGAGGGAGGGCTGAAGGGGCATGGGCTAAATGTCCTGGTGTTTATTTTCTGACCTTCTGTCTCTTGCAGTAGTATTTTGCCTTTGAGTAACTGTCCCCAGCTCCAGTGCTGCAGGCACATTGTTCCAGGGCCTCTGTGGTGCTCCTGATGCCCCTCACCCACTGTCGAAGATCCCCGGTGGGCGAGGGGGCGGCAGGGATCCTTCTCTCTCAGCTCTAATATATAAGGTAAGGAGGATTTTGATATAGAACCTTGGTTGGAGCCTCCTAGATCCCACTGAGCATCTGCTCAAATGCTGCAATTTTCCCTTAGTTTTCTCTTAGGCAGAGGTAGTAGGGCGACTGAGGGAAAATGGGAATTGATAACTTTTTATCAACTGAGGCTGCTGTATGCCTTTTCTGGATTCCTAGCGGGAGAACATTAGTACTGTTTGTTATCTTTTAGTCTGTTGTTGACCGAGGCCCAGGACCTGGTCCAGCTTTTTTCTTAGTCTGGGAATGGAAAGTTAACAGGGCATCTGAGTTCTGTGTGTAAGAACTTGACTTCAACTCCTGAATGCTGGGATTATAGGTGTGTACTGCCATGTGCAGCTATTGTTAATCTAAAAAAAATTTTTTTAAAGGCAAGGTCTTAGGCCACACATGGTAGCATATGCCTTTAATTTCAACACTCAGGAACAACGTGATCTCTAGGAGGTCCAGGCCAGCCAAGGCTATATAGTGAGACCCTGTCTCAAAATTGAACAAACAAAAAAGGTCTTGTGTATTCTAGGTTGGCCTTTAACTCATAAATTTCCTGCCTCAGTCTCTAGTGCAAACAATGCGGGAACTTACTTGTTTTTGATGTTTTCCCTTAAGAGAGGGATGGGAAAGCCCTAATGGGCTTTCTGGCCGGGGAGATCTAGGTTTTAATCACAACTGGGCCAGTTACTAAATTGTTCTTGCCTTATTATCTCATATTTAAAGTGGAGATATTAATACATGAATAGTACTTTACACAGTGCTCAGCACTTGGTTGGTTAATAATAAAGATGTCCTTTCCCATCTTATTCTGGCTTTTAGCAGAATGATGTTAGAAATAGCTGTAGTTGGCTCATAGGGAAGTCTGTATTTCTGACATACCCCATGATCCATGCTATCCTGAGAATGATTCAAGGGATGCCAGCACCCCCTGCCTTAGGGGATCATAGGATGTAACATTTGGTAGTGATCCTGTTCTCTGCACTAACTTCCTTCTCAGGACGAGAAGCTCACTGTAACCCAGGACCTCCCTGTGAACGATGGGAAACCTCACATCGTCCATTTCCAGTATGAGGTCACCGAGGTGAAGGTCTCTTCCTGGGATGCAGTCCTGTCCAGCCAGAGCCTGTTTATAGAAATCCCAGATGGATTATTAGCTGATGGGAGCAAAGAAGGGTAAGGAGACAGTAAAGAGAATGGTTATTGGGGATAACAGCTTTATACGGGAGTCTATACCTTTTCTTGTAGATCTAGACTCTCTAAGTAGATAATGCTTTGTTATAGGTTATTTTTAGCCAGTATATCAGGCCTGCTCTAGGTTATAATTAAAACAAATTGTTACCATATTAACCATGAGCCACCATACAAAGGTGCATTTTCAAAAGCCAGGGAAAACAGGTAGAATGGCAGAATTTCAATGGATTGGGCACTGTTCTGTAAAAAAGCAGTCCCAGGACATTCTCTTGACTGACCACAGGTTTTCTTTTGAGATAGGCTCTCACTTTGTAGACAAGGCTGGCTTCAAACTTAGAGACCCACCTGCCTTTTCCTCTTGAGTACTCGGATTAAAGGAGTAAGCCATCACACCTGGACCCAGTGTAATACCCACAGTGAACTGGGTTCTGTTGAAGGCCCTGCACTGTTATGTGACCTGCACTAGATAGGACAGTGTTAATTTTCAGATGAAGAACTCATCTGAGAGAGACAGCCCCTGGCCTATCTGAGGTGTATTTTTCTCTTAATGTAGGGCACTAGGTTGAGGTCTTCAAATGGGAACCTTTTCTAGAGATTCTATATCAACTCTCCAAAGGCCCTCTTGGAGGTTGGGTGGAAGTCTGGGGGTTGGTGGCAGTGGACCTGAGCAGTACTCTTTGTCCTTGCAGATTGTTAGCACTGCTAGAGTTTGCTGAGGAGAAGATGAAAGTGAACTACGTCTTCATCTGCTTCAGGAAGGGCCGGGAAGACAGAGGTGAGCAGTCAAAACTCTTGAGACCTATAGACCTGTTAGTGGGGTCTAGGGTGGAAGCAGAGGGCTGTATACTGTGCATACTTACCTTACAAACTGGGAGAGTTGTGGCCAAGGGGAAATGCTTGAGGACCTAGAATTTGTTACATCCAAATTCTCTGGATTTGAGCTTCATCAGAGTCCCTTCTATGCTTTATTTTCTGCAGCTCCACTCCTGAAGACATTCAGCTTCTTGGGCTTTGAGATTGTACGTCCAGGTCATCCCTGTGTCCCCTCTCGGCCAGATGTGATGTTCATGGTTTACCCCCTGGACCAGAACTTGTCTGATGAGGACTAATGGTCATAGAGGATGCTTTGCCCAAGAGCCACAGTGGGGGAAGAGGGGAAGTTAGGCAGCCCTGGGACAGATGAGAGTGTTTCTGGCTGTCTAGGGAAGGACATTGAGGGGCTCAGGTTGAGGGTTGCCCATTGTGTTCTTGGAGTTGACTCGTTGAAATTGTTTTCCATAAAGAACAGTATAAGCATATTATTCACATGTAATCACCAATAGTAAATGAAGATGTTTATGAACTGGCATTAGAAGCTTTTTAAACTGCGCTGTGATGTGCTCCATCTAGCCTGGGGAGGAAATTGCCTGGAGGGGTAGAGACTGCCTGGTCTGGGGGCAGGGGCTGGTGGGCAGCACTGTCAGGCTTGGGTTTCCTTGCAGTTGGGCTTTCTTTTTTTGGTTTTTAAGACTTAGGTATTTTCTTTCTTTGCTTCCTGTCACCCAGGGGCTCCTGAGTATAGGCTTTTTAGCTTCTGGGCAATGTCCTTGGGTTGTTTTTGACACTCCACCTTGGGCTTCTTGGCATTTTGTGTCTGGCCTGGTGTAAGCAGGTCTGACCTCGCTTTCTTTACAGCTTAGTGTTATTCTGGCATTTGGTTAAGCTGGCTTAATCTGTTTAATGTTACCAGTGCATTTTAAATAGGGGCATTGAAATTCACCCCCCACCACCAGGGCTTTTTTGGGGGTGCCTGGGCCTTAAGAAACTAGCCAAACTACATCTCAAGTTACCACCAGAGTTCTTGCCTCTGTGGCCCAGGCCCCAAGATCTCTTTCCTAGCAAGAGCAGAGAGGAAGCCTAGCAAACTCAGGGCTTGGGATTTGTGGGGGAATCTGTTCTTAGGGACTGGATGCCTCTGGCTGGCCAAGCACAGTACTGACTGCCTCCCTAACAGGTTCCGAGTAGTGTCTGCTCTACAGGGCCTAGGAGTAGGCTGGACAGTAGATGTGGCCTGCTCTTTACTGCTTTCACCAAACAGCTTGTTCTAAAGGGAAAAGAAGGGAGAGAGATCTACATTGGGTGTGGGGGTGTCAGGGAGGCAAGTGTGTTGTGTTACTGTGTCAATAAACTGATTTAAAGTTGTGGTTGGTCTGTTCATTATTCCTGTACCAGAGCCAACTTCCCTACCACTCCTAGAGCTTAACATAATACAAATGTGGTATATAGTTCCTAGGGAAAGGGCTGCTGGTCTCTGGGGCCATCTTAAACTCTAGGGTTGCTAAGGACACACTAAGTGCCCCTTGGAGAGAGGTGTGTATACATAACACTTTCCTGTGTGGTAGCAACTAACCCAGAATCCCAGTTGTTTTAGTTTTTTATGGTGCTGCCTAACTTTATACCTGGATTTCTTATTTCTCCTTTTTTGATTCAAGGTTACCATAACTCTGACCTTAACTTGTGGTGACGTTCTTGCCTCCGCCTCTGCAGTGCCATCATACCTGCTCTAAGGTCTTTAAAAGAAACAGTACATTCTTTTCCTTGCTAGTTTCCTCCTTTTGGAGCCCAGTGTTCTAAGGCATGTCTTAAGATCTCTTTGTACCACTAGCATGAAGAGTCATGCTACGCACTCCCATCACCTCATCTGAGATTTCTCGTGGACACTCTGCATGCATGTTACATCCCTTCCCCTCAAGGCAATGTTCTTCTATCTATGGATTTGCAACTGCCTTGTAGTCAACCCTTAGTTTCTCCCAGGCATGGCCTGTTTTCAACTTGTTTTTTCCTGGTGCTTACCTGTGTTTTATTTAGCCAAGTCACTAAACTTGGGCTCCATTTGCACTGGTATTCCTTCAAAGTGAGCTCAAGTTAGAATTGGCCTGAAAATACCCTCCAAACAGATCACTCCTAGAGGCAGCCTAAAGGCAGTAAGCGAAGTCAAGATTCAAATGTAAAAATCTGAGAAATCCATTTCCAAATAAACAGGGGTAACAAAACAAAACTCAGTCCTTTACTTTTTCAGCCTGAGCTTGCAAGGCAGAGGGAAACACTGTTTCTGCTGCTGTATGCTGATGGTTCCTGTTGACAGCCAGTTAAATGGGCTGACCTGGAAACTATATACCTACCCAAAGAGCTTCCTGTCAGACACACAAAAACTGGGCTGTTGAAGACCACCACTGACAATGCACAATCATGGAGAGCAGGCAGCAGCACTTCATTTGAAAAAGCAACTTAGAAGGTAGAAAATTTTGGGGTGATGAAGGGGGGGAGGATAGGAGAGGGAGATACGTGAAAGGCAAACTTTAGTCTAAATGTAAGAACAGGGACATTAAAAACTTTATTCAATAAATACAACAAATAATTTAAAAATATACTTCAATTCCAAAGCCAATTAAGAAAAGGAAGTAAAGACAAAGGGGAGGTAGGGGGCGAAGAAAGGTAAGAAAAAGAGAAAGGCTGAACATGGTTTGGCTGGGCTATGTTTCAGAAGGTACCACTCTTTGAGAGTCTCGTCAATAAATCCTTAGCCCTTGATCTCATAGGGTAAACCACAGGAGTCCAGGAGTGATCCCTGGACCAGCAGACTTCGGAGACTAGAATGGGTGGGGGTTGTGTTCTGGGCGGTAATTTTCCCACTTGTTCCTAAAAACCTTCCATTCTAACTCCCAGGCAGGTTTAAGTAGTGCAAAATCTCAGGCAGAGAGTTCCCAGCTGCATAGTTTCATAGATGAATGAATGTTCAAAGCCAGGGCCTCTGAGAGGTAGGTCCCAGAGTACCCAGGGGTTGAAAGCCACTTTGGTGAATGGGATCCAAGGGTAAAAAGAGGAGGCCAGGATACAGGATCAGCCAGTGGCCAAGCCAGAAAAAGAAAACAATGCTGGGCAGGAAAAGGCTCAGGGGGAAGGTAGTCTGCACACTGGATTCAACAGCTTGCTGTCAGCCAGGGAAAGTGAAGCTGAGGGTGCATATGGAGCAGGACTAGAGACAGGGAAGCTGAGGGGGACAGAACAGCTAGGGGAGGAGGCAGCAGCTCAGCAGCAAACTCCAGGAGAAATAACCAGCAGCCCTCACAGATTTGTGATTGTCTCTTAAAAAGATTTATTTTCTCTTCTTGCCTGAATGTACAAAGGCAAAAAGAGTACAGTTTGTATATATATATATTTATATATATATATATAAAAAAAAACAAGGAACTTGGTAATGTACACTTTACAGAAGGGAAGAATCAGGAAGACTGAAATTAAATCCAACAGAGCAACGCCAATGGAACAAAAGCTATGAACAGCAACACTGCCCCTTCAGCCCGGGCCTCCAGCTTGCCCCAACCTGCTCCCAATGGGAGGGCTGAGCACCAAGGCAAGCGGGTGGACTGGGGCAGGAGGGGCTGGGGACAAGGCCTGGGAGGGCCATGGCAGGGAATCACTGGAAAGTTTCCTAGGATGCCCTAGTAATAAATGACAAAGGCCCAGAATTATGGGCCAGCTAGCTGCCCAGCTGAATCTTGGGGGGAGGGGGCATCAGAGTACACAATAGGATGGTGATAGGGTATATGGTGTAGTAAGTGACGAGGAGGCCTCAAACCTATATCCATTTCTCTAGCCCTTCTGTAGTCTTAACTCCCAACTTCCTTTAGCTAAGCCCCCACCCCACCCTGGAGCCTGAAGAGGAAATGCATGAAATGATCATTCCAGAGGGTACTCTCTTACCCTTCTGTGTGTTTCTTTGACCTTGAGATGTGTAGTGAGTATAGGCTAAGTAGCAACTACATGTACATGTAAAGATCAGGAAGAGCTGAAGGGAACTGGCACACCATAAATGAGGAGGAAACAGACATGCATCGTAGGCAGTGGCTGTTAAGCCATGGCTGCCCTCTTTGGGGTGAGGCCCCTACTTCTTACAGCTTCTCCACATAGGTCTCACAGGTTATTTAACAACAAGGGCATGGGCAGCTCAGTGAGAGGCTTTGCAGACTGGACCAGATCTTGTCTCTGACTAGGTGTCACAGGTAGACCCCTGTGGAAGAGTGGAGGTGGACAGCTAATCTCTCAAAACTAGTCAGGATCTCCACAGCTGCAGCTGTGTGATACTATTTCAGGGAGGGAAGACTGGACTCGGACTAGGGACTAGGAGGATCAGGCTGGGAACATAGTGTCATTTTTCTACCACTAATCTCATTTCAGGGTAGTGCCTGTTCTTCACGGGGCACTTGGGTAGAGGGATCAAAGAGCTGACTTTTTTTAAGGGGAGTGGGGAAGAGAGAAGGAGAAGAGAAAGAGAAAGCTGTTACCTTCTGCAGAACCTAAGGCTGTCTTGCAAATATAGACATACCTCCTCTGTTATAAAATGAGGTGGAAAAGGCAGGAATGTGGACCATGCCTATCCAATGAAAAAGAAAATTGCTCCAATGGTTTCTTTACAATATGTACAAAGCACATTGCAGGCCAGTGCCACAGATACATACAAAACACACAACAATATTTAAAAAACAAACAGGAACAGATGGGCACTTGGCTCTACTCACTGGAGTTCTTGGGGAGGCATAATTAGGCTGAAGGTCAGTCACCCTCTTAGTAAGGGTGATGAGTTAGGTTTCATGTCTCCAATATCTACTTCCATGAATAAAAGGGGGGTCACTGCCCAAAGTACTGCTTACTGCGACAGCATGTGTCAGAGGGATCCAATAGTGGTGAGGGAAGGGGCTGCCTGGGGTTCTGCCAACAGGTCTAAAATGGATTTTTCAAGTGCCCAGAACCCAACTTCAACAAAAATAAGTACTTGGAAACAGGAAAGGTTTGTGGGTCAGAGGTGCTAAGAGCCCCAAGCCTGTCTATGTATAGGGAGGGCTCATGGGTCCTTGGAAACCACCTTCTCCTGGGCTTTGTGCTTACTGTCTCCCACCATCTCACTCTCCCAAAGAAGTCAGAGCCATCTACCTTCCTGCTCTCAAACTGTCATTTCTGACATTCTTGTCACAAGCTCCCTGTTAGCCTAGGCTGGAATCTGTGGATCTTTCTCTCTCTTGCAGTCTAGAGGGTAAAGACAGGAGGGGAAGGTAACAAAGGGATGATACCCTGCAATAGCAGAGAGCTAAAAACCATCCCACATCATGGGAAGAAGTGACTGATAAAGCTGGGTCATCACTTTCCCAGCACACAACCTTGCAACTCAGGAGAACAGAGAAATGTCTGCACCTCAAAGCCTCATCCCACCAAGTGCACTCTGGCTTGGGTGTATAACACTCGAATAAGCTATTTCAGGGTCTAAGGAGCAAATGACCTCCCTTGGTCAGTGGTCCCTAAAACAAAAACCTGTCATATTGGCACACATGGAGTTCGAGAGTGAGCTGAATAAAATCATGTATCTATAGACAGAGGAACTGGGCTGTATACATTTGTGACCCTAAATGAGAAAGATACTCAGATGACTGAATGTCTTCAAGAACTGCTTGAAGGTGTTCGTACAGCCTGCCTTCTGGTTCATGCCCTAAAGTGATGTGGCAGACTCCAAGGTTACCCATGCTGGGAGGAAGTCTATTCTGCCTGAGTTGTAAGAGCCAAGCAGTAGAAGAGGTGAGGTCAGTATGGGGATTCCCACCCCTGGGAAAGGCACCAAGGGGTTAGAAAGAAAGAGATAGGGCAAGGAGTTGGGAGATGAAAAGCAGCAGGAATTTTGGTGAGGAAGCAGGTTCAATTTCACAGCCTCCATTTATGCTCCAGCTCCTCCCAGCATCCCCAGGGAACCCTGTGCTGGTGCTAGAACCCCTTACCTACTGCCTAACTGGAGCATACGGCTCTGGTGGGGCAAATGCCTTCCTCTCCCTTTATAGGTTAGGCTCTGAGCATTTATCTGTGCTCACTTTACAGGGGGATGTCTCCATGCTTGAAGACCGTGTCTTCACAACTACAGGGAAAACAGCCCCCAGCTTCTTTCCTGAGATTCTAATTTGTCCACGTGCTGCCAGTTCCCAGGGCCCAAACCACTGAGGAGATGTGGAATCTTGTTGATGGTGGCAATGACAGTGAGAAGGGTTATGGCTGCTGTGCTGTCTTCAGACCTTACGCCATGCTTGGGGTCCCTCCCAGGTGTGTGTAGGGCACTGCTCTGGCAGTAGACTAGGGGCTAGGTTAACAGAGCAGTAACTTCTCT